CTGAGAATGGATTATTGAAGTCCCATGGAAGAGGGAAAAGTCAAGAGAATCAAAACCATTTAAAACCACTTCCAACAGATTTAAATGAAACCAAAGGAGAGCAACTCCACTTTTTATCCTGATTGCTGACAGGGATTCCATGTGGTATCAGCGGCACGATCTGAACCCACTCCTTCACTTCAGGGAAAGTTTTCCCGAGTTTTTCCCGAGTCCTGGCTCGGAGGGCAGGTGTGTGTGGATCATTTCCCAGCCGTTCCCACACGGTGTCAGCAGCTCTCCAGGAGAGCTCCTGGTGGGGAGCTCAGCTGGGAGCCCTCTGCAGGAACAGGGAACTCCTGACCCAAGGCCAGAGGAGACCATGTCCCTGCTGTCCCCTGTCCCAGCTTTCTGTCTCTGCTGGCTGCAGGCAAAGGGGGATGGTGACCACGGACTCATCCTGGACGTGCTGTGGGTCACTCAGAGCCTGTCTGGGCTGTCCTGTCTTTCCTGAGGTCACTCAGGCCCTGAGGAGGGGAGCAGCACTTTGGGAGGCTCTTTCTGTGCTGGGCTTTTCCTATAATCTCTATTTTTTTTTTTGTTTCAGAAGTATTTCCATCCCATGGTGTGTTTCAGGCCATGTGCCATGACCACCCCTTGGCTGCAGGAGGAAATTCCCTGGCAGGAAAGGCTCTTTCTGTACTGGTGATTGTAGAGGGGGCTCCTTTCCCTGCTGGAGCTCAGGAGCAGGTCCTTGGTGGGGTGGGAGATGTGCCAGAAGTCCCTTGGGAGGAGCAGCTTTTGTGCAGAGCTGGTGTCTCACTGGAGCATCACCTCCATGCCCTGGGGCAGCTGGGACAGGACCTGTGGCACTGTGGGGCTGCTCCTGGTGCCTCAGGTTTTAGTTTTTGTGTTTTTCAGGCTCTGTGCTGCTTTAGTGTGTGGGTCTGTGCTTCATATTGAGGGATGGTGAGCTCTCTGCACAGAGTGGGGAGACAGAACAATTCCTTCTCCAGCTGGGGACAAAATGATCCAAATCTCAGGCCCAAGAGCCTGAGACAACGTGGGCTGAAGAGAGAAAAACAAGAAGGATGGGATTTCATGGAGCTGTAATTGGATAATTGAGTCCTCTGTGCAAATGGAGCAGAACTTATAAAAGTGAGAGACCTTGTGACCAGTGGGCATTTTGTGACCTTTTTGGTTCATTTTGTGACCATTTTGGGTTCACCTGAGCTGTACCCCTGGCTGGGCTCTTGTGCTGCCCAAGGTGGATCTGTTGAGGCCTCCTAATAAATCCCTGCTTTACTCTTGAGCCCTGCCCAGTCTCTGTTCCAGCCCAGCCTTCCCAAGGCACCACTCCCCATCCTGAGTTCCTCCCACCCAAACCATTCCGTGATTCCATGATGACCTCCCCTGGCCCGGCAGCCCCACCTGGGCAGTGCCTGGACCAGGCAGCCCCGTGGAGGAGGCAGGAGGCTCTGGCAGCTTTTTCAGGGCTTGTTTGTGCTCTTGGGGAGAGCTTTTCTGCCCGTTGTTCTCTGCAGCTCCACAGCAGCCTCACGCCTCGGGCAGCGCTGGCACAGGAGGGGAGGGTGTGGGGGCCTGCAGGAGCTGCTGCCAACACAGCTGGATGAGTCTTGTACAGCTCTGGTGCCTTCCCAGGCCTGCTGGAAGCCTCCAGAGCCTGGTGGGAGCCACGTCTGTGGGGGCCCAGCCCTGCTGTGCTCCCCTCTGCGCACAGCCCAGGGGTGACGCCTGAGCAGGAGCTTGGTCCCCACCTGTGTCCCCCTGGCGAGGCAGAACCAGGAGCTGCAAAAGTGTGAAACTCTTCAAAGGGACTCGTGCAACACAGCCCAGGAGCTGAGCCTGGGTTAGTCATCCATAAAGGGCTTTGTTTTTTAACTCTCCCACTCCCCGCCCTGGCACGGGGGTTGAAGCTCTTCCGCGCTGCTTGGTGTGGTCAAAACTTAGGAAAAAACAGATTATCTCCCAGGGAATCAGTCAACTCTGCCCTGAAAACAGGAGTTTCTCTCTGTGCAGCCCCAGCAGCTGGGTTTTGCCCCAGTGGGGTTGGATTCTGCTGAAGCCAGGGCTGCTGGGACACGTGTGTGTGCTGCTGAGCTCCAGGTGGAGGTGGGACCTTCCCTGCTGAGGAGACAAAGCCGTGGGGAAAACCTGCAGGACCCAGCAACTGCAGCTGCTGAGAGAAGTTCTGATTTCAGTCCACAGCACACACAGACTCCAAATCCTGGAAGGCCTTTTTGTCTATTTGACTGGAAATTACTTGGTCTTTTCCTCTCCTGCAGGATGATTCTGGACATCAGTGTTGTCCTTCAGTCACAGAAATTTCCCAATAAAGCCCCTGATTTCTTGACAATAATTTTTGTGCCAGCACTCAGCAGCACAGAAAGGAAAGTAGCTTGGTTTTTTTTTTTTTTTTTAAAGACAATTGATTTAAAAACAAAGCAGCAGGAAGGGAAGTTTCAGTTCCTGCACATGAGGAGCTTCAGGGGCTCAGCAGTGACAAATGCCTGGGCTGGCTCTGCAGCTGCCCTGCACGTGGAGCCGAAGGCTCCTTATCTGTTCAGACCTGAATAAGGTTTGTACAACAAGCTGGGGCAGTGACAGGTGGTGATTGAACACCAACACTTGACTCTCTGCTGGTTTGGTATCAATCCTCTGCTCTGCAGAGCTGGGGTCTTAGTGAAAGTGAAAAAAAAAAACTTTCATTTTGGGCAGGTCAGTGGCTGCCACAGCTGGGCTTGAAATCTGCAGATTTCTGCTAAATCTGAACGTGTGAGATTGTGCTCATTTCAGCCAGGGGCTGTGAGGGCTCCCTCGTGTGGGATGAGCACAGAGCCAGGGATATTCTGCCTGGTTTTAGGGCCTGGGGAAGAGGCAGGATGGGCTGGGCTCTGTGAGGAGGAGGGCTGGGGACACGACCCCCACTGGATTGTGCTGCTGTCACTGAGTGCAGCACAATCTGCTGATTATCTGGTTAATTTTCCTTATATCTCTACTGCATGTTCTTGTCCTCTTCTTGGTGCCAACAGTTGGCTCTGAGCTGATCCTGCCACCTTCTAATCCATAAAAATTCCTGGTCAGACTCTTTGATTCACTTGCTTTGAGGTCATGAAGCTGCTTGGGGTGACACCAACAAAGGGCAGGTGACGTCTCAGCTGCCTCAGTTTCCCCAGATCTCTTTTACAGTGGCCCAGGGATGGATGAAACCCCACAGTGGGATGGATAAAATCTTCCCCACACCTCCCCACTGTGCCCCAGGCCAGGCAGCTCTGCCAACAAGGACAGTTGGCTGTGCTCCCCTGAGATGTGACACCTCCACCCCCAGAACAGGAGTTTGGGGTTTTTTTTCCCTACCAAAGAAGCCTTGAGGAGGAAGCCATGGCCTGCTCTCAGCTATTCTGCCTGGTGCAGTGTGCCCCCACCCTTCCCCATCACCCACGGGCATTATTTTTAGGGTTTGTTTACCTCACTGGGCTCCAGCTCATTCTTTTTTAGGGTGACAAGGACTTCCCTCACGCAGCTGCCCAGGTGGCACACGAGAAACCACAGCCCTGCCTGGAGAACTTTCCTCTTCTCTAATGAGGGCCAGGTTTTTTATTGGCTTTTTAAAGAAGATTTGGAGCTGTGGAAGGAAATAGGCAGCTCTTGCTGGTGAAAGGTACTAAAATAGGTTAAATCCATCCAAGCAATACACTCTTTTTTTTTTTGGTAGCACATTCTGTGTGACTTGGCTGCAGTACTAGGCAGCTCTTGCTGGTGAAAGGTACTAAAATAGGTTAAATCCATCCAAGCAATACACTCTTTTTTTTTTGGTGGCACGTTCTGTGTGACTTGGCTGCAGTATTTGTGGCCCAAGTTGTGATTTTGTGTGGTTGCTTGGTGGGTTAAGTTTTACTGGTTTAAGTTAGGGCTTCAAGATAGAGTCTGCTTTCTTAATCAAGAAAGTTCCTGAACATTAAGAGTTTGGCTCACAGTCACCTCAGAGGAGCAGGGGAATGGTTAAGGTGCTGTGGCTCTCTGCAGATCTCCAGTTCTTGCTCCAAAACTGATCAACCTTGTGCACAAACGAGCTCTTGGGGCTGCTGAGGACCTCGCTGTGGTGAGACCCAGTGTTTGTTTAAGGATCCCTGGGTCTGAGGTTCTGCATCTTAAGCTGTCTTGTGCTGCTGTTGAGATGCTTCTTGAGCCTCTGGGCCAGATGCTGAAACTCACCTTGTCCTTTCTCTTTTGGGAGAAAACGTGAGACTTTCAGCACTCAGTGAAAGCAGAAATGAGCCTTAGCCCCGGCGCTCGGTGTCAGGCTTCTGTCTCCTCGTGTTCTTTGAGCTTTCCTCTTTGACTCCGTGGTTACAATTACAAGGCACTTTTTGTGAAGGATATGGGTCCCCCCTCGCTCCCCCCTGTGTGCTTTGGGGCACAAATTAACTGGGGAGGCCAGGCAGGAGCGCTGTGGTCATTGTTTTCCTTGCAGTTCCCACTCTCACCCTGGATGTGGCTGGGGGTTATGGTGCCCAGAGCTGCTGCCTCTCCCCTGAGCAATTCCCACAGGAATGTGGTGGTTTATTACTGTATTTTAATTAAATGTGAACAATAAAATGCTACAGCTCAAAGAATTTTCACTTAAAGGTTGGTGAGTGGCCGTTAGGTAAATCCAGCTGTGGAGCAGCATCAAGACATGTGGGTTAATAGTTAAAATAAAATCTCCTTAATGGGCTGCTGACTTGTTTCTTTTGTAATCCATCTGCTGACTTGTTTCTTTTATAATCCATCAGCAGATGAAGTAAAACAACATTTTTCTATTTCATTTATTTTCCACGCTCTCTTTCCTGCAGGGCAGCACTGGTATGAAGCTGAGCTGATCAAACAGCTCCTGGGAGGACAGGAGGATTGACAAGGACTGGACAAGGATGGAGAAAACACAAAGGAAAACCAGAAGTATTTTGTTTAAATCGTTATAATTTATTTTTCTCAAATAGCAACATACAGTCCGTTTTTAGATATCAGTGGGGAACCACAGGTTGGGATCTTAGGCCAACGTTAACATGACTCACCTAAATGAGATGCAAATTTGTTCTGTCCGTTAAATTTAAGCAGGGAAAGCCAGGCACTCTGACATCAGCCCTGCCTCACTGAGGCACAGCTGCAGCTGTCCCAGAGGTGCCTCTGCATCTCATTTCTGAGGTGTGTGATCCCTTTTGGAATTCATCTGGTCTGTAAGGACCTGAAGACTCCTTCATTTGCAGGAGGGGAATGGCTTTTGTCACAGGACACAAGTGCAGCTCCATGTGCTGGTGGAGCAGTGTCTTGGGTGGGATAAGGGGAATGGTTCTGCATGAAAAGGTTCCATGGAGGCAGAGTGTTCTCAGGGTACATTCATGAACAGATTGAACTTTGTGTAAAGCAGCTTGACATATTGAATATACATTAACAATATATTGTTACTGATGAGGGGAACTGCAAATACCCTGTGCTGGGGGTGTCCCTGGCTCTGGCCAAGACCATGATAGCTGTGTCTTGCCCAAATAAGGATGAGAAAGAAACCAAGGGCAAATAGCTCTTCAGTGTCTGTTATCACCCCTTGTTTCATGTGACAGAGAAGCAGCACTTCTGTACAGTTACCTGGGCACTGTAAATGAAAATGAGTTCAACAGTTGAGCACAGATAGGTAACACAAAGCAGGATCCTCTCTTTCCAAATCCCAGCCCCTGATAAAAATCCCATACACCAGAGGTCAATGGTTTATGGAGAATTTATTTCGATTTGGTGGCAGCCAGGTAAATAACTGGCAGTGCTGTCTCAGACCCAGCCAGTGAATTCTGTCTTGGAAGTTTAACCCTCAATTCTCTAAAGCAATGCTCTCCAACCCATGAACCAGGGAGTTCTCTGTGCCACTCCTGATGGATCCATGTGTTGAAGAAAAGGACAAATGTCTGTTTAGTGAGTGTTTTGCTGCTCGTGGCTCTGTGTGTTCAGGGGAACATGGACACATCTCCCCTGGGAGCAGCTCCAGGCTGAGACCTCTCTCCACTGGCGATGGCTCTGGGAGAGCTGGGTGCTGTGGGATCTGAGCACAGGACAAGGACAGGGACAGGAGCACAGGACAAGGACAGGGACAGCTGCACAGGCCAGGCAGCAGCTCCTCCCAGCTGGTGCTCAGCTGTCCCACGTCAGCGGTTCCCAGAGCGTTCATCTGTCATCAGGAATCTTCGCTCTTCCTGTAAAAGCACCCACTGGAATTGCAGTCTGGGCTCCTCCAAGGCCTGGTTTTCCATGACAACAGTCTGCTGTTCAGCTGCTGTGGCCTGGCAGAGGTGGGACAGTGCTCAGATCAAACCTCAGCGAGCCGTGTCTTTGTTGGTGCCGACAGCACTGATGCAAAACACGCCCCAGTAGCTTATGAGTGAAATCCAGCTCTGACTTCAAAGGCAGCTGAAGTCCTGCTGGAAGGGCTGGGCAGGGAGGAGAAAACCCACATTCATATTTATCTCAAGGTCAGCAGGTGATAGCCCAGAAAGAGGATACAGGCAGAAGTAAAGTAGAATTTGTACTTTTCCTGACAGAGCTACGAGTGGCTACAATGTTATAAAAAGTAATTGAAATTATGGCTAGAGTTTGTATGGATTTTGCATTAGCTGTGGTCATGTCTCACGTTTCATGGGGGAAGGCAGAGCAGTTGTGTGCTCGGGTACTCCACAGCTGGGTTTGTGTGTTGGATCCAGCCCGAGGCTGCGGGTTGGCCTCGGACTGACTCAGCAAGGGCATTTCTGTGAGGTTGCAGAGCTGTTGTCTCGTTAAAAGCAACATCCAAAGCAAGGGTGATGCTCCCAGACAGTTCTGCTGCACCAACGTCTGTTTTCTCTTGGTGCTTGTCGCTTTTCGGGTAAATGTTCTGTTTTGAGCATTTCTCATTTTGACAGGGAAAGACTAAACTGAAGGTGAAATGACAGGAGGAATTGCAGGCTCACCACCTCTCCCTTGCTTTGCTGTTAGTGACAGCTCTGTTGTAAAGTCTCTCCACCCATGGGATATTGGCCAGCAGCCCTTGCTGCTTGAAACAGGAGGAGGCTTCTGGATTTCCCCCTCGACTTCTCTGCAGTGTAGCAGTCCTTGCTCTGCCAGGAGTTCAGACCAGAGAGAACGTCCAGAACCATTTCAGCTCCACCGAGGCGTGCCCGGAGCTGGGCTCAGGGGGAGAAGGTGGTGGTGGTCTCTGTCTCCATGGCGAAGGAGGTCCTCTTGCTGTCGCGGCAGGTGGTGAGCCGCAAGAGGCGCTCCTGGCTCAGGCAGCCCAGCTCCTTCAGCAGCTTGAAGAGGTCCGTGCGGAATTTGACGCCGATGAAGGCGTAGAGGAAGGGGTTGAGGCAGCATCGGAAGCAGGCCAGGGTGTAGGTCACGTCATCTGCCACGTCCAGCTTCTTGCTCTCCTCACATGAGCTGGTCTGGTTGAAGACTGAGATGGTCTTGACCAGCATGACGCCGTTGTAGGGCAGCTGGAAGACGACAAAGACGATGACCACGGCGATGATGACCTTGATGGCTTTGTTCTTCTCAAAGTTGCGGGCCTGGAGCAACGTTTTGATGATGATGAGGTAGCAGAAAGACATGACCAGCAGGGGAATTAAGAAGCCGAACACCATTTGGGACACTTTGATGCCGGTGTTGAAGGTCTGCAAGTCATTAGCAAAGACGGAACACCGGGAATTGCTCCCTGAGTTGTTCACACCACTGTGAACCAGCTCAGGGATGGAGAGGATGAAGGCCAGGAGCCAGATGAGGCTGCAGGTCAGCTTGCTGATGAATATCATGCGGGGGCGCAGGCGATGGGCTGAGGCTGCCTGGACGATGGCGAAGTACCTGTCGATGCTGATGGACAGGAGGAGCAGCATCCCGCTGAAGAAACTCATTTTGCAGATGCAGTAGACAGCTTTGCAGGCAAAGTTCCCAAAAAGCCAGCTTGTGGCCGCGCTCGTGGCCCAGAAGGGAAGGGTCAGCAGGAAGAGGATGTCTGCCACAGCCAGGTTCAGCAGGTAGATGTCTGTCATGGTCTTCAGCCTCTTGAAGTAGATGTAGGTGAGCACGACCAGCCCGTTCCCCAGCAGCCCCGTGAAGCAGATGATGCTGTACATGGCTGGGAGGAAGGCAGCACGGAAGTTCCGGACCTCCTCCTTCTCACACAGGGACTCAAACATGCCGTAGTCAATGGTGCTGTTGGAGTCGTAGTAATCAGTGACATTGTCCCCGGCACAGAACTAGAACAGGAAAGAGAAGCAGAGTGTGTTGGGACAAGGACTGTGTGGCTGTGCAAGGAAAGGAGCCTGGAGAGAAGTCCCAGGGAGTTCCCAAGTTCTGTCTCATACCAACATCACAAACAGAGCTGACACAACCTCGTGGCTGAAAGTGTTTCCTATAAATATGTGAGGTTTGGGGCTTTTTTGGGGGGCTCCAAGTGGGAATTCCACCAGAAACGTTTTGTGCTCAGCCAAAGTAACATCTGCAAGCCCTCAGATGTGTGGCAGCTTTCCAGAGTGACCCACCTCCAGCTGCGTGTGCACAGCCAGCTGTCAGATAAACTGTGAGAAACAAAACATCCTAGAGCTAAATGGAAAATCAACGAAGGTGCTGGTGAGCCCGTGAGGAAGCGCAGTGAGTGCAGCAGGAAGCTGTTTCCGTGTCAGGCCGGCATCTCATTCAGGCCCTCGATTTCAGTTCTGATTATTCTTGTTTCATCTTCCTACACTGCCATAACCTGCGGGGCAGACAGAGCCTGCGGTATCTGTGCCCTGCTTTTTGTCACTTATTAATCTCCAGAACCTTCTCCCCATCGCTCAGACATGAAAGGTTTCCCCTGGATACCCCCACCCTTTATCGGAGAGCATCTCGGTGCTCTCCATCTCAGCAGGTTTGGCTTTCACCACATCCTGCTGGGTTGCCAGCAGTGAAAGGGAAAAGCAGGGGCTGCTCGGCTCTGTCCCAGGGAGCCCCACAGGCTGGGGGTGGCCACTGCAGCCAGGAGACCTCGGGCACCAGGACCAGCCCCTGGGGTTGGGAGCAGGTCATGGCACAGCTCCGTGCTTGGGGTCCTCCTTGCTGGGCCAGGGCACTCTGAGCACCAGGCAGGGGAAGATGATGAACTCTTCCTCCTTGGCTGCATCCTTCTCCAGCTCTGGGCTTGATCAGAGCCCAGCACCTTGACCAGGAATTTGTAGGGAGCAGGAACCAGCTGCTTCCTGTGGTCAATGTGGTGCACTCCTGTCTGCCCTGGAAATGCTCATTTGGGTCTCATTTTGTAGACTCACACAGCCCAGGCCATCTGAAATTCACTCCGTTTTTCACCATTTTTCTCGGCTTGGTTTTGTTTCTCTTGTTTGTTTTTCTGTAGCTGGGCTCTGCTCTCACCTCCCACCTCCCACAGCTGGATCCTGGGGTGAGCAGCTGAGTCCCCGCACATTTCTGGGACTGTGGGTGGCTGCCCTGAGTTTTTGAGATCTCCCTTTACCCACAGCACAAAGCAGCTGGATTTCAACAATGTTGTTGAAAACATCTTACCTGAAAAACCAACGGCAGGCTGAAAACAAGGGTGACCTTTAGCTGCTTGCCTAGGGAAGAAGGAGATGTGTTAGTGGCTGAGTGGGGGTTTCCACATGGTTCTTACTTTGAAAAGTAGTGGGTAATGCTGTCCATGGCACTGTGAACCCTGCAGAACCCTCACCACTGAGGAAACCAGAAGCTGGAAAGATGCCAGGGAGATAACCCAGGGTCATGAGCGTTGCTGTCAGAGCACTGGAGGAGTCTCAGCAGTCTGGCCCCTTTGGCTTCACAGATCCATGGAACACTTTGGGTTGGGAGGGGTCTCTAAAGGTCATTCAGTCCAACCCCCTGCAGTGAGCAGGGATGTCTTCACCCAGCCCAGGCTGCCCAGGACCCTGTGCAGTGAAGGCTGAGAGCTGAGGACTCTAAACTCAGGCACTGTGCACTCTTATTTTGATTTTATTTTGATTTTATCCTTTACTTTTCCCTGCAGGCAGCCAGCAGCTTTTTCCCTGGTGTCTGAGCAGTGAGGGTGCAGCCTCATCCATGCAAATGCCCAGCTGTGAGGGCCATAAATCTGTGGCAGCTGTGCCCGTGTGGTGCCTGGGCTGTGGAGAGGAGCGCTCAGCTCCCCGTGGGACAGACAGAACTGGAACTGGCTGAAATTTATTGCTTGTCTCTAAATGTCAAGAATTGGCTTCTGCTGCCTTGGGATGTGGAAATATAGGATGCTGACAGCTGGGAGGAAAAACTGAATTTAGAGCCAGGTATGATGGTGGTGAGAGCAATCTCAGCCGAGCAGCGCTTCCTGCTGTGGTTAGCAGGGCAGGGGCCAGGGAAAGCTTTCTCCTCACTGGTTTTACAGCTCGTACCAGCAGCTGCCTCAGGCAGCTGCTGCTGAAAGCTGCTCAGGTGGAAGGTGGCAGTGAGACAGCCCCGAGCTCCACTCTGGTGTGAGGAGGAGATGTGTCCCTCCCTGAGGGTGCCTTGGCCCAGGATGTCCCTCCAGGCACTGGGTGGTCCCTGCAGCCCCTCACTCCCTGTGGGTTTCTGCTCTGGGGGTGCTCAGCAAGGGGACACCTTTGGCTTTCAGCTGCCTGCTCCTCCTAGAACTGTGCCTTGCTCCTCATGGCCCGGTTGTTCATGAATGTGGCTGATTCCTGTGCTTAGTGTCTGCTGGACTCAGCTCTGCTTGGTTTCAGTTCTGTGCCAGGCTCCTGCTCGTGGTGTGCTGCACTAGGATGATGAACTTCCACTACAGCAACTGCACCAAGTCCCTGTGGACTTGCAACAGCCTCACTAATATCAGATAATTACCTGTGAGTGGGGATGTTTTTAGTGCCTGAGGGTGATGTGTGGGGCAGAGAGATCCTCAGCCTGGGAAATTCATAGTGCTCATCCCCAGGCCTGTGTGAGTGCCTCCCCTGAGGTCTCCTAGAAGCTCTGTCTCACTTTCCCCCCTTATTTTCATCTTTGATGCTCATGCAGCTGTGTGCTCAGTTGTGTTCATCCTCTCTTTTCCTTCTCCAAACCCTCCTGGGGATGTCTGAGGGGTTCCCATGGGTCCCCTTAGTGCAGGTGACTCAGGAATGGAGGCATGCAAGGCAGGGACTGAGGGTGAAGCTTCTTCTGCTCTCTCCAACCAGTCACTTTCCCTCTGACCAGTCCCAGGATGCAGGAAGAGGTTTGGTGTCTGCCATGGTGTCACCTCTTCAAACTGCTACCCCTCATTTGGTATATGACACAGAAAATACTCCAAAAGCCCCAAGGACTGGGACTCACTAGGTGGCTTTAAGCAAGCTGTTACTCCCTTCCTGCCTGGGATACAGAGTCCCTGTCTCTGCAAAAACCACAGCATCCTTCATCATTCTGCTGCACCTTTGAGGTAGCTAGCCTGGTTTCCCTGGGACTGCTGGGGCTCCTGGCTGCCTGTGGATGGGTGATGAGTACCTGTGCTGGAAACTCAGCCCCACCAGGAAATTGCCCTGTGGCAGAGAAGAACCACCCTCATTCCATGGAGGAAAAGCACCCATGTAAACCAGACTCCAGCAGCCCTCTGTGGCTTGGTTTGCAGACTCCAGGTCCAGCCCTGATTTCACCTGACCAGCCCCAGCCCTGGTGAGGGCTCCTTTGCTCTGTTCTGTTTTCTTATCACCCTGTGACAGTCTAGAAAAACAGGACTGAGAACGTGACTCAACCAACTCCTGAAACAGTTCAGCCCATATCATTCCTTTGAAGATCATCATAGGTTTCTTTTCTCTCCCCCTTCTCAGTTGCTGTTTCAACTGTCTTAAATGTCAAATGACTTTTCAATATGAAGAAAGCCCGTGCTGTTTCTGCCCCTCTTCTGTGCCCCCACCTCAGATTACACATTTGCAAAAGCACAACCAGAGAGGCCCTGCTGCCTCCTGCTCCCTCTGTGCCAGTTTGAGCATGTTTGTGTCACTGGTTTCAGTCAGACTGGACAGGGCTTGCATGTCCCCAACTTGTCTTGTGGTCTGGGGCAGTGGGCAGAAGCAATTATCATGACACGATCCTTGCTCTGAAGTTTATCAGGAGTTTAGGTACATTTCTTTACTTTTTCTTTCCTTTTTACACCTCCTGGCAGTTGGCTGCTGTGGGTATTTTCTTAAAGTTTTTAAAAGTTTTGTTCCTCAAAATTTTGAGGAAAAAAAAAAACCCTCTCAAAAGTCCCTGCAGCCAGTTGAACTAGAAACCTCATTTATAAATATACACCAAAAGCCCACCACAGCAAGTGAGTCAGCCTGGCCCTACAGCCCCGTGGCAGCCCCGGTGTGTCTCAGCCTGGGAGGTGCTGCTTTGAGGCCATTCCTGTCCTGGAGGACCTGGAAACAGCTGGAAAGGGGAATTCCTCCATGGGAGTGAAGGAAGGAAGGGGTCTGTTCCTGACAGGGCATGGGAATCCCTCAGTTTTACACTCTGCCTCCACAGACTAAGCCCAAGGGGGGATTCATCCCTTGACAGATGTTGAGCTGTTCGGGATCTCTCAATAGCAAAGAGAAAGAAACAGATGTTTTTAAGCCCAGTTCAGGTGCCTGGGGTGGGCACCTGGGGCACAGCTCAGGCCATGCTGGGGCACAAGGGGGTGAGTTTGGACAGGCAGATCCCTCCCAGCTCATCTGGATCTCCCTCAGCACCAGCTGCTAAAAGTGAGCAAGGCAAGAGCAGCTGCAGGAGCAGAGAATCCCATCAGGTGCACCCAGAAAGGCCTCTGACAGTGCAAGAATTTGGTGTCAGGACATCTGCCTGGAAGAGGAGGGAGACACAGCCCCGAGGGTGATTAATCAGATCACACAAATGACCAGGGCAGCTCCTGAGGGTCTGGCTGCTGCTGCAGCTGAGGGATGAGGAGAGCAGAGCAGGAGCTGGGAATGATTTAAGGATGAGATTCAGGAGGGCAAAGCAGGAGCTGGGAATGCTTTAGGGATTCAGGAGAGAAAAGCAGGAGCTGGGAATGATTTAGGGATTCAGGAGAGCAAAGCAGGAGCTGGGAATGCTTTAGGGATAAGATTCAGGAGAGCAAAGCAGGAGCTGGGAATGCTTTAGGGATCAGATTCAGGAGGGCAAAGCAGGAGTTTGCTTTAGGGAGCACTGGCAAAGCTGAGCAAACCTGCTCTGGCCAAACCCTCGTGGTGAATGAATTTTTTTTGGCCACCTGGGATTGCAAAGCAAAAGTTCTGGCCTCAGCACACGTGCAGGCAGTGATTAACGTGCTCTCTGTATGTTACACATGTACCAGCTTCTGGTGCCCCTTCTCCAGCAGCACAGGAGGCTTTTGGGGGAAGAACCAGATATTTCTGAGAAAAGTTAATCATACTTAAGTGATCTAATGACTATTGGCAGTTACCAGCCATAACTGGCAGAGGAAAGGCACTGTCATCTCAGGAGTGAGTGGAGCCAGTGAAACTCAGTCATGCTCTTATTTCGTGTGTTCACTGATCTATCACAGAAAAAAGTTAATGATTATCAACCTCTACTCCTTTCAGGAAACTGTGAATCAAAAGACGAGATAAGCAGAGAGAAGCAAATAAAAAATTTCCTGCAGAAGTGAGCCAGGTGTGTTTTAAAGAAAGCACCGCAGTGGTGTGTCTTCCAGGAAAATGAAATATTCCTCTGAAACGCAATAGTAGAACAAAAAACCCAAAGCAGGAACATTATCATAATCTGGTCAGGTCCTCATTAACTCTTTCTTTTCCCTGTCCTGATTAACCTTTCCCAGGAGCTGAGTTCAGCTGCCCCCAGACACTGAACCCCTTGGAACAAGCAGCCCACAAAGCACCCACAGGATGATGCAGAGTTTAAACAAGAAGAATGATGTGTGGTGGGCAGGTGCACTTTGGTGTTTGTTTGGATGCAGGGATTCCAAAATCCAGGAATTTCCTAAGCCACTGATTGCCAGAGGCTCTGAGGAGAAAGAAAACTCCCTTGACTCATTCACTGCTCCTGCCTGGAGGATCCTGGAGGACCTTCCCCCTCTTTTCCCTGCATCTCCATCTCTGGAGCATCCTGCATCCCTGGAGCATCCCCAGATCCTCCTTTATTCCCCAGAACTTCTTGCATCCATCCTCCCGACCATCTCCAGAACCTCCTGCATCTCCAATGCATCCTGCTTCCCCCAGTGCTCCTGCAGATATTTTAAAATAGAAATAACTTGCAAAAGACTGGATGGACTTCATGAACGATCTCAGCTCTTCTCCAAATTCCTCAATTGATTCACTGAATTAAAATGTTGCCAGGGAGCGTGTTCTCTCTCTCTCTCTCTCTTTTTTTTTTTTTTTTTTTTAAAGAACACAGAAGAAAAAGTGTGAATTATGCAAGATTCCATTTGCTTGAGAACAAAAAGAATTAAAATGTTGCCAGGGAGCGTGTTCTCTCTCTCTCTCTCTCTTTTTTTATTTTTTTCTTTTTTTTTTTTAATTAAGAACACAGAAGAAAAGGTGTGAATTATGCAAGATTCCATTTGCTTCAGAACAAAAAGGCCCCTTAAAATTGCCTCCCAACCTCTTTTTGGTATTTGTTTCTGAAGTGATTTGAGGTTTTTGAGCTTCTAAAATAGAAGCATGCTTTTTTTTTAATAATAAAAATGAGGAAGATGAAAGTCTTTTATGTTGTCTAAATACTCTAATAGAAGTGCTCCACTCCTGTGTCACAGGACAGGGACTGGGCATCATTAATAAAGCTGAAGACACAGCCCAAGGCTGCAGCCCAGGTACTCACCCCCATCCATGGTGTGGTTCCAGAGGATCCAGTCACAGAGGTAAGGAGAGCATCACCCACCCCAGCACTGCCTCCCCAGCTCCTGCCAGGGACCCTCCTCGGGGAACTCTGCTTTTATACTTCCTGCACCCCTGTGAGCAGCTCACAGCCACCCTGATGTCACTGTAGACCCTCCTCCTCCTCCTCCTCCTCCTCTTGTGTTCAGGGCTGTGCTGAGCTCTCGGGGTGCTCAGGTGCTGCCTCGGGGTGTTCTGCACACCCAGAGCTGTCACTGACACTTGGGGAAGTGCAGAGGGCTCTGCTTTTGGGCTGACACATGAGGAATGGTCTGTGGTGAAGGAAACAGGGGAAGGAGGGTCTTTCTTATCTCCCCACTCCAGCAAATCCTGCTTCACCTGTGGAGCCCTTAGTGATGGAGGGAACAGAGCATCCCATCCCATCCCATCCCATCCCATCCCATCCCATCCCATCCCATCCCATCCCCAGACCTGGAAAGGTGTCCAGGATGAAAATCTCAGTGCACAGGACTGCCCATGGCCAACAGCCCATTGTCCTCCTCCCTCCCCACGCTGTCATCAGCTCGGTGACTTCCCCCCTTTCTCCTTCTGGGTATTTTTGTCTTCCCCAAAAGGCTCTGCACTGTCAGTGTCATGCCTTCCCCCAAGGCAAAGCAGTGGTTTTGTTTTGTGGGTGTCAGGGCTTTGCTCTTGAAACAGACCTTTCAGACAGAAATGTCTCCAGCTCCTCACAATCTCTCTTTTTCCCTGAGCCAGGGTCCTCTAGAACTGATGCCTTTGGCATCTTGTCCTCTCTGTCTTATGCTATGTCAGCGCTGTTACTGCAGCCAGGTGGAAAAATCGGGCACAACAGGATGGAATCCCAGCTCAAATTAAATATACATGAAGCTGAGGGTCATTTTGAGGCTCCTGTGTGCTGTCTTAGGTCCTTTTTGAAGACTCAGATCCAATTTCAGACCCTCCCTGGACACGGTCCCAGCCTGACTCCAAATCCTTCCCAGTGCTGGTGTGGTTCTGAGCCCATTCTGGGGTGCTCAGGGAACAGCTGGGGTACTCAGGATCAGGATTTTGGGGTTTTTGGGGGCAGGAGAGCTGTGACAGTTTTCCTCTGCTCTCTCTGAGTGCGCGGCACCGACTCCTCCGCGCCTCGCCCGGCGCTTTATCTCAGCCAGCAGGTGCTGTTCACATCTCTGCAGCTATTTATTGCTCTGTTTGCCTTTGCTCGTCAGGTATCCAGGCAGGTACGCTGCCTCGAGAGCTCTATCTCATAACCACTTCCTCCAAAAGGGACCTGAGATGAAAGACTTCCCTTGGGTAGCGGCAGAATACCCGGAATCAAGGGGTGTAACAGAGGCTTCACACGAGGTCACAGCTCTGCCTGGCGAGCTGTGGATGTGCAGGGGGGCCCCTCGAGGTGCTCTGTGCTCCCCCTGCTCCAGGGAGAGGCAGCAGGCAGAGCTCTGGTGGATCCATCCCCATGTCCACGCTGGCTGAAGCCAAAGAGAGAGGGGAGGCAGGCAGGTGGTTTGCAGATTGTTTTCTGCACGTGGTCCCAAGATTCAGCTTCAAAGTTTTGGTACGTGCCAAGTTCTGTGGTGTTAGAGTCCATTCAAGCAAACTGTTTTTCTTAAAAAGAGTGGGAATATTTAAAATGGGAATGTTTTAAGTGGGAATATTTAAAATAAACTATTTGTGTATGACACCGAACTTCTTGTACAGTCATGTTTTATACCCAGGGAGTTCTCAGAACATTTATTAAATCTTTGCTTAATTTGATTGTGTATATTTGGAGCCTATTGCCTGAGTGATTCCATCTCTTTGACACATTGCCTGAACTTGGGTGCCCCATGAGCTGCTCTTCACAAAACTGTGATCCAAACTCAGACAGTGCCAGGCCTGAGCTGGGCCCGTGGAAGCCATTGCACTGTGCTACTAGAACCTATTTGTTATTCCAAAGTTAATTAACTGCATAAAAATAATCAAATTACCAGACATTCCAGTCTCTGGGTGCCTTTGTTCCCTTCCAGCACCCGGGAGAGTGGAGGTCAGTGATTTAAACCTGCTGCCCAGGCTGCAGCAGGAGCTGGGTGCCAGCTTTCAGCCATAAACTTCTCTAAGAAAATGCAGCTCCTGATAAATTCCACAGGAAGTAGCTCAGGGAGATTTTGGTTCAGTTCTCATTGGTTCCACTTGAACTGAAATATTGAGCTGAACTGAATTGAACTGTGCAATCCTGAATTGTCCTGATGTTAAATTGCAACTCACTCAGCAGTGGAACATCACAAGGAAGTCAGCTCTGAGTTTCCCATCCCTGGCCTGTGTGTAAAACTGGAATTCCTGTGGGATGTCCAGGAATTCAACACAGTCTCACAGACATCCTGAGGTGGGAAAGATCCCAGAGCTCCAGGAGAGGATTCCCAGGGACCACGTCCAGGCTGGGGGACCTTGGAAATCAGAACTCAGGGCTTTGCCCAAGGAGATGGAATTCTGCCTGATAGAAGCACAACATGGGATGTTCTGAGATCCTGGATTCAAAACCTTTTCATATTTTCCACCGGTTTTGCTTCAGCTGATTTGGGATGGAAGCACCAGCTCTGTCCCCCTGTTCCACCCTTGGGCTGCCATGAGCCATGGAAGGTTTGTCCCCATGGCTGGAGGAAGCCAGGGGTGCCCAGACAGAAGCGTTGCTGAGTTCAGGGTGGCCCTTTCCCAGCTGTACTTCCCAGTCACATCCCTGAAGTGACATCAGGGAGGGACCCTGACGTCTGTCCTGCTGCTCCCTCTGCCTGGCAATGCCAACCTGGGGTGCCTGGGATCTCCCAGCCCCTGCCCAGACCCCTCCTCTGACGTTTGGGGACATCCAGGGGGGGTTGTGGTGGAAGTCAGCAGGGTCACTCCAGGGGGGTGCTGACGTTGTTGTTCCTCAGGCAAATATAAAATAGCAGAAGTGAAATCATGAGTAAATTCCTGACCTTCAGAGTGGCACCAAGCTGGGATTCCTCACCCAGCAGAGTTCTTTGAGCAGGTGTGGGGGGTGCCCTGAGAAACGTCTCATGATTTTGATCTCGCCACCAGGTTATTAACAGATCCTTATCTCCCAGAGGGAGGAAGCAATCTGTGCAGTGCCAGGCTCTGATTGGGATGCACAGCTGCCCGTGGTGTTGGCCACAGCAAAGAAAGGCACACCCAGTGTCACCAGGAATTCACCTGCTTTGTGCCCACATCATGTCCTAGGTGATGGCCTGGCTCTCCAGGTCTTTTATTGAGGAAAAAGAAAAGATTTACCAAACTGGCATCTGCCCTGCACTAAACAGGTGGACATCAGTGAGAATTTCTTCATGGGCAGGGTGGTCAGGCTTGGAAGGGGCTGTCCAGGGAGGTGCTGGAGTTCCCATCCCTGGAAGGGTTCAGGGAACACTTGGATGTGGCATTCAGTGTTCTGGTCGGGTTGGTGAGGTGGGGATCAGTCACAGGTTGGACTTGGTGGCCTTGGAGGTCTTTTCCAACCTAAATGATTCTATGATTCTATTCCATGAAAGCAGCACCAGCTGTGTCTAGAGATGGTTTGTGCAAAGTGCTGGGCAATTCCCACAGGATATCAAACACTAGTGAGCAGTGAATCATTTAGAGATGTAACAAGATGTGGTTTAGGGAGATAAAGGGCTATTGATTAAAGAGATAAAGCATCGTGACCCTTAAAAATAATTGGGAGTTGAAGTGTCCCTGACCATCCAGGAAACATCACTCCTGTGAGCTGTGTTCCCTTGTTCAAAAGGTGGAAGGTTTAACACCAATCTGCTTCTGCCTTTGGATGAAAACTGGATCTAGAAACTGGAAATAATCCCATCAGCGTTTGCTCCAAGAAGAGCTCATCCAGCCCTCTCATTTACAGATCTGGCATTTCTCATCCCTGAGGTTAAAAAGATTGTAATAAACCCATGATAATGTGATTTTTCACTTGGTTTCTGTTGTTGTTACTGTCACTCTTTCTGGTTTGCCTTTCCCCACCCTGAAACTGGTGCCAGAACGAAAATGGCTTTTTCTTGACTTTTTAACAGAGTAGGGTAATAAAAGCAGATTTCAACTGGTTGTTGACAGAAATTACTGACTTCTGGAGTCACAAGTGAAGCTTTACGTGATGACTTACAACAAAATAAGACACCAGCCTGATACGCGCGAAACCACTTCAAAAAACCCCTCGAAGATTGTGGAAAAAAACGTCAAAGTGAAAGAAGGGAACTGAGAGCACAAACAGCAAGACAGACCTGAAGCAGGAGCTGGGCTGTCAGATTCAAGTGCCTGATGCCACTTGGTCATCAGGTCCTGCTGGGAGAGGTTTGCCAGTCACTGCCAGTAGCACTCTGCATGCACAGGGGATTTCAAATCCAGAGATGCAAGCTCTGGGTTCAAAGCCTTCAGCAGGTATTGCAACTCCTTGGAGGCACGAAAAGTCTTGGCTGTAACAGTCCAGGATGAAACTGGAACTTGCTGGGTGCCTGCCTGGGAGAACACGTGGAGTTCCAGCCTCTCTGAGTAGCTGCATGATCAACCTCCACTTCTGCAGTGCAGCACCTGCAGCTCATACCCAGGAGCCTGGAGAGCTCAAAGCTGCAGGTGAGTGACCTGTGAGCACCTCACCCAGATTTGGCAACCTGGTACAGATGCCTCACACTGTGAGTTGGAACAATTGCATCTCACTCAGAGCGGGTGCAACCAGCAGCTCTCAGGGTGAGGGGAGTTGAACCTTCTTATTTTGTTGTAAATCATCATGTAAAGCTTCACTTGGGCCTCCAGAAGTCAGTAATTTCTGTCAAGCCCTGAGCATGAGCTGCCACACCTGCTGCTGGCACTGACAATCCTGTACAAGAAAAGCACTGCTCACGTTTACAGCCAAGGCTGGGGCTGTGTGTCCTTCGGGCAGGTGCATGGGGACTCCTGGTGGCAGTGCCTGCTGCAGCTCACACATCTCTGCCAGCACATAACCTGCCCCAATTCCATCTCCAGTCGGCCACCAGGGGTGTTTTCCCCCAGTATTCCAGCACTTGGGACTGCTGGGAACAC